CAAGAGATGGCAACACGAACAGTGTATCTGACTACACGGAATGAGAGAACTAGCTACATGGAAGAGACCCCAGGAGATGCAGAAGTTAACACTGATTTCTTCTGACGAACCCCTTTATATTGACTGTTTGTTCAACTTGGTGGCCCTCGGCCAGGCTGCCAGGGTCGGAATCCCTGACTCTCACTCACTAGCTTTGTAACATTGGCAAGCTACTTAGCTTCTTCATGTCTAATTCATCATCTATAAAATGGAGATAATATCTGGATCACAGAGAGATTATATTAAAAACAATCCACATGAAACATGTAAAAGCCTGGCATATAATAAAATAGGTTTAATAAATGTTTGGATAAAAATACATTAAAATGAAACGAATAAATGATAAGAAATGCTATCAAATAATCTAGAACATAAAATATGATAAACTGAGAGGAAAATCGTTACAACTCTGCCTAGGGAAGATGACCACATGTGGGTGAGCCGCCCACCAATCAGCCTTGTGAACTCGCCCAAGCTGTGCCTTCTCCTCCAGGAAGATTTCCGTCACTCCTGCTGCACAGTAACCATCCCTGGTGTTTTTATTCTGTGTAACTCCTTATTCTGCATGCTCTCCACTCTGAGCCACCTCTTTCCACTAGCACATGACTAACACACACCACTTAAAGCTTCTCCTCTCCAGAATAAATAGCTTTAGTTCCTTCCACCATCACCCACAGGTCATCTTGTGTGCCCGCTGGCATTATGGTCAGCCTCTACCAGCTAAGTTCTCATGTGCCACCTGAGTTATTTGACTGAAAGCACCCTCCATCCATCCCAGATGGCAGGCCTCATGCTCCTGTGTCCTTTCCATTTCTGCCAGTGTGTCTACCTTCAGGTTCATTGCCTGTCAGGCATCATCTACCTACCAGGCCGGCAGCTCCAATGCGCCCTCCATCATGCCCATCAGCCCCTCCTTACATGAGCCCATCAGACCATCTTGGCTCCGATCACATCTCCCCTTCCTCTGATGCTACACAACACAGCCCACACTCCTCCAAAGACGACTGAAATGCCAGGACAATGCCTGGTCCACAACTGACCTCACTGCTGAATTCCTTGTCTTCTCTGTTCACACCCCTCCCCACTCCTCCCTCCCTGTGCCCAGTGCTGCCCTTCGAAGCTTCAGGATGAGTTCAGCAAAGCTTTTCTCTGATCAGGATGTTTCCCTCATGGCACTCTTGTATGCTGTGATTCAACTGACTGCCCCATCCTCCCGTCAGAGCGCCACCCCTGCAGACCAGCACTGCGGGAGCAGGACTGGATTTCTCTTCATGTGCTGCTCAGCGCCTACCACAGTACCGGAAACCATCAGCTCTCAAAAGGTGCTTGGGGAAGCGGTGAGTAATGAAGGGAGGCTGTCGGTGGTGGTGCAGTGGGACCCTCCTCTTTCCTCATTCAGAATGCTGTTTTCATTGGCAGCCATTCCTACATTTGGTACGTTCTGAACCAGTAGACAACATCTTTGCTCTTGAGCAGAACCACGTCTCTGCCACTTCCTGTCTTTGTATGGTTTTTCTGATACTGAATACAGGGCTTCATACTCCATCGCCACTAGAAGTGCTCTGAGGATGGAAGCTGTCACCTTCTGCAAGTTTGCAAATGCCTGGTGGTAAAACGTTAGATTTGGAAGGCCCAGAAAGGTCATCTAATTTCACAAGTCTCTTTTTCACCTGCAAGGGGCCCTAGGTCTGCTCAGACAGACCCTAACAGGAAATGTACCGGCAACCAAGATGACTCACACAGTAGAAAAGCTTGACCTGGGAACAGATGCTTCCCACAAGGCCATCCTCAAAAAGCAATCAAAAGTGGCACTCTTCTGTGTGTGGTCCCATGTTGGAAGAGCTTAATGCCACTTATGGTAGGACAATTAGTAATTCATATCAAGCCAAGTTTTATCTTCCTATTATGTCCACTTGCTGAAAACCACAGAATAAAGTCACCTGTTGTATGTCAACCATTTAAACAGTTGGGAATAGCTATGGCGCTCACTTCACATCTCTTTTCCAGACACAAAGTATGGTGAGGGCCTCGCATACTAGTGTGCTAGGATAAGGAGCACGTAACTCAAACTCTAACCAAAGAATACAATCAATGATATGGAAACAGAATTAAGAAAAATGTCAGAACACTCTTCTAAATGTTTCCAATCGTGACGGCATCCATTACAAAAACTCTTTGGTGCCCCTGGTGAAATCGCTACCACCATGTATGGAGCTATGGGAGCTTTTAACCAAGTAGGTAGTTAGAAACTGTCCATTTACGAAAGTCTGAATATAGTATATCTGAGCACAGGAATACTGCTTCCACTACACCGCAAACCACAGGGAAAGCAGTTCCAAAGCAGCTTATCAAATATTAGCTTGGGGTTTGCTATAAGCCTTTAGGTCTTCTGATGTACGTGAGTAAAACCATTGACCTCCATCTTGCCTTTCCAGATTATCCCCAAGAATACTCTCATCCAGAGGTATGTGTGTTTGCCATGCCCTCTGAAAAGCCAAATTAATGAAAAAGGCGGTGTGGCAGAACTATGGATGCATTTGCTTTTCCCACCGTTGAGCTCCTGGCAGCAGGAGCTGCAAGAGATTCCTAATTCACCAAACTAGCAAATGACCCACTGCTCTGTCATAACAAGACTAAAGGTCACAACTCCGCAGAACAGGGAGTGGTTGTAATGGCTCAATGCCCTTTGACGGGCCTCTTCCCGGTTGCCCATTTTCTCTACCTCCTGCTTTTGGGGAACAGTAGCCTTCATACTCGGAACAATCACTGCTCCTCTAGTTCCTAATACGTGGTGCTAGGAAGGGGTGCCACTCATGGGACTCCACACTCCCCAGACCAGGCCAGAGTCCTGCCTTAGAGTTTTTCAAACTGGAGCTATGGCTGGTACAGGACGAGGAGGGAGATGTGGCATAGGGCAGAGCCTTCTCTCAAATATAAAGGCTAGGCAAATGGGTGCCGGGGCATTTCTTATAGTGGAAGAGTAATAAAGCAGCAGTGAGACAGAGACCCCAAGGCCCTGAGATCTGCAGGTACCTGAGCACTGGTTGTTCAGCTTCTCCTTTGATTCAGTGAGCTGCCCCAGATCCCTTCTGCAAATCTGTCTTTTAGCTGACGTTAGACAAAGATGTCTAACTGGCACCAGCAGCAGTCCTGACAGCCAATACAGGAGCCAGCCTGGAGGGTATGGTTTCAAAGTGACTGGCCTAGCATTTCGGCTATTTTACACTTGATCCAACCAACATTTACTGAGCGCTAATTATGTGCCAGGCGTGGTTCCAGATGCCAGAAAATACAAAGATGAAAAAGGCATGGACTTTGATCTCAAAGAATTCAGGTTCCTACAGTCAAAGGCTTGGAACACTCATCCCATCAGAAGTAAGTGTCTAACATCTTAGAAGATGAGATGAAGACAAGTAAGGAGTATCTAACATCTGAGAAGAATACATTTTGAATGGTCATCTTTAGTTAAAACTAGGTTGTTGAAAGAACCTAAAAACCTGGACATTTTAAGTGACTAACTCAGCATAAGCACAACAGAAGAAAAAGGGGAACATGAAGAACACCAAAGACACACAAAAGCCAAAATACGTTACAGCAGCAACAGCACAGGAGCGCGACAATCTCGGCCACTTCAGACTCCATCATAGCTCTTGCTGTGATAAGACAAACACTCACAATTTAGAAATGATGGGAAAACATCTAAAGATCACTAGGCTCCAAAAACCTGACAGACTGAGAAAGCTGAGGCAGAGGATGGAAAGGGAACTGGTTGCCCTGATGGGTTTTCCAGGGTCTGTTTCCAGGATGGACCCTGGGAGAACTGGATATTCACTGAACAGCAGGATTTACCAGGTCACAGTCTAAAATGCCTGGCAAAGAGCCACCAGGCCTCTAATTGTACTGGACATTAATAGCTGCCAAATACGTCCTCTGGCTCACATCTCAGTTCAAATACTTCAATGTCCCTGAAAGATCCGAAGGCCCGGGTCACAGGGTCAGGGTCAGTGATGAAGGCAACATTTACTTCTGATACCGACAGGTTGTTTCTGACAGGCTGGACAGCAGCGGTTTGTAGATCACCTGCGAAAATGTCTGGGATGAATAGGCCTTTTCACTGCCTTCCTCTCTCAAGCCTCTTTTGTAGAGGGATGTAGGTAGCAACAAAGGAGAGATTTATCACCAGGAGCCCATTGGGCAGCTGTTTTCTTGTTGTCCCTTGTTTAACTTCTCTCAAGAGAGCAGAGTTATCTACCCGGCTAAGCAGGTGTTTAGGCAGGTGATTTTGTTTCCATTAATTTTCTTAAGTCATAGCAAACCAGACTAGAGGGTTATCTCCCGTGCTCATGGGAAACCTTAACCCTGTGCCTGCCAGATCACAGGGTGTGTGCTGTGGGACGATGACATGTCTGCTCTCTCAGCTCTAGAATCATCAAATCTCTAATCCCACCAGTAAGCACAACTTGAGAGTCACTGCCCATCCCTGCCCCTTGGCATCTGAATTTTGTCTTCTTTAATAATGTGTTAGGTATAAAGTGACAGTGGAGGCCTTCAGGAGAAACCAGGTAAGAGAAGTATTGCTGTTCATTTCAAAGCTCAGATAAACCATCCCATTAATGATTATCACAGTTTCATGTTCCAAGCTACTGTGAGGGAGAGGTTAACATAAAATATGAAAAAAAAAAATTTTGTTTTCACTTTAAAGCCTAAAGCTTTGTAAACCTCTAAATTTACCCAGAAGCTCTGGATGGACTTTCCAATCTTTTCTACAACCTCCTCTATGACCACAGTGTGCATTCTGCACTAGACTTGTGTCATTAGCATCAATGTGAATTTTCCTACTCCCCCGCTCCATCCTCAACTGTACACAACTAGTACCCGCTGGTGGGCCAAGGAGAGCCGCCGCATTCTTACATATGCCTGACAAAATCCTGAAGCCTTTGGTGCTTTAGTCCTTTGATTACCTTGAATTTTCTCCTACTGTGGATCCATTATCATAAGGAGCGAACATTCGATGGCACATTTCTTTCTCTTTATCCGTGTAGTCCCTGTAACAGCTGTAAAGGGAAATGTATGGCAGTCAGGACCTGTCTTTGCAGGAGGTGACATCTGGTGGCTGGAATTCTCCACTCTGGTCCGCTGAATCAGCAGAGGGTGGAAGTGCTGCTGGAGAGGTAGGGGGACAGGGGAGGTTCCCACGAGCTGTTAAAGAAGCCCTTGGACAAGAGCCCGTTTCTGAAAAGACGGCAGCCTGAACGTCAGGAGCCACTGTCAGTGAGGCTGCCAGGTGGAGTCTTGCCGAATGACACCTCACACTCAGGAGCCACTAGCTTATCTTGATATTTTCTTGCTAAAGAATCGTTAGATTCCAGAGTTTCTACATTTAACCTGACAGGATACTTATAAATAAAAGGCTCGAAATACCACAGCTGGATCCAAATATAAGAGGTGTGCCTACTCCAGGCTTTTTTAACATCAAGAAAGTTTTAACTAAGCAATTTGGATTGAATGTTTAATGTTAACAGAAGTAGAGAAATTCACCAACACAGAAGAATAAAGGAAAATCATAAAACCATGGGTATATTATGGGATGATGGAATTATGAGTGATTTCTATTTATATGTTGATATTTTCAAAGTTTCCTACAACGGACACGAAACTTCTATAATCATAAAAAGTTATATTTCTGAAAGACTGATACAAGTATATATATCACTTGGGTAATCAGACCTGAAAGATCCATTTCAGATCAAACCAGTCACCTTTCTGCAGTCAGTTGAGAAGAGTGGTTCTGTGTTGGTAGCAAGTAGAAACAGTACCTGAAGAACAATCCCTTTTGAAAAATTACATCAGCCCTCCTCTTTAGCTTGCTTTCAGGGGCAGGGTGAAATAAAGAGGTGGGAAATGACCAGACAGGTGTAGTTTGGAGGTTTGTCCCACTCCCGCACTGGGAGCTGGTTTACGGTACTGAGCACTTCACAAAACTAGCTCTAGGGGGTGCTGCCTCATAACACGTGCTCAACAACATACCCAGGTGCAGAGACCAGAACTGTAGGTGCATCACACATCTCTTCCTCTGTTTGCAGGAGTGCAAACACAGGCCTCACCTGGCCAGTTTCTTCAGCTCGTTATTGATGTCATGATTGAAAGGCTGTTCCTTTTGGGCTCGGACTAGAAAATCCCGGGCCTTCTGATACTCAGTCATGATGAGACAGGCCTGTCCAAGGATGGAATTTTAAAAGCATACTTAGGAAAGAGCATTTTTTGTAGCGCCCAAGTTCAACACCACTGCCACCTTTTCTTAGGTGTCTGTTCCCAAGTCACTGTCTACCAACTCACCTGTCCACACCGGAAGAGGGCTTTAGCATTCTTTTGGTCAATAATCAGAGCCTGTTCTCCATAGTGCAGGGCCCTAGTGGGTTGTTCCAGCTTCAGGTACGTAAAGGAGAGGTTAAGGAGAACAAGCAGCTTGGCAGCTTCCACCAGGTGCTGCTCTTCAGCGGGTGCTGAGCGCCGGCGGAGAAGCAACAAGGCCTGTGGAGAGGAAAGACAGGTTGTCAAGAGGACTGACATAATCTTACATACAGAAAACCCTAGGAATATATACACACAAGCCAAAAAAACCCTCTTAGAGCTAAAATATTAGTTCAGCAAAGTTTCAAGACACAAGATCAACATATGAGTTAGCTATATTTCTATACTCTACCAATAAACAACCCAACTTACAGTATCATTAAAAAAATAAGTAGCAATAACTTTAAAGTGAAAGTCTTGTACAATGAAAACTACAAAACATTGTTGGAAGAATTAAAGAAGACTTAAGGAAATGGAAAGGCAACTCATCTTCATGGATCAGAAGACTTAACGTAGGTAAGATGGCAATACTCCCAACTGACCTACAGATTCATGCAGCCACATCAAAATCTCAGCAGCTTTTTTCTTTCTTTTTTTTTCTTACAGAAATGGTCAAGCTGATCCAAAAATTCACATAAAAATTTGAGGGACCCTGAATAGCAAAACGATATTGAAAAGAAAAGGTGGAAGACTCATCTTTCTAATGTCAAATTTCAAATTGAAATTAGAAGGACATTCTAATTTCAAAACTTATTACAAAGCTATAGTAACCAAGCCAGTGTGGTATTAGCATAGGATAGACATCATACAGATCAATGCAATATAGAACTGATGGTGCCAACTGAAAGTTCAGAAAAACAAACCTATACATCGTAATCAATGGATTTTCAACAGGGTGCCAGCACCATTCAATGGAGAAAGAGTGGCCATTTCAATAAGTGGTGCTGAGATGACTGGACACCAACATGTGAAAGAATGAAGTTGGACTCCTACCTCATACTAGGCACAAAAATGAACTCAAATGGATCACAGACCTAAACGTAGGAACTACACTGGAAGACTCTTGGAAGAAAATATAGATGTAAATCCTTGTAACCTTAGATCAGACAGTGGTTTCTTAGACATGACACCAAAAGAATAACCAAAGAATAAATATCATCAGAGCTTTTTGATGGATATTTATCAAAATTATCCATCAAAGATGTCATCAAAATTAAAAACTTTTGTGCTTCCAAGGACATTACTCAAAAAGTGCATGAAGAGAATGAGGAGGCTGGCTGATGTTTCAGAGAAATCGCTCTCATCATCGGTCACTGGGCAAAGCTGACAGCACACACAGCTCACTGCTGTTACCATCTATGCCTGCAAATGATGTATTTTGTACTTTGAATAAAAAGACAGTTGTACATCCCTGAAAAGATAAAAAGAGTAAAATAGCCCAGATTGGAAGAAAACATCTGCAAATCATATCTGATAAAGGTTTAGTATCCAAGAATATATAAAGAACAATAAAAAAGACAACCTAATTAAAAAACGAGCCAAGAATTGAATAGACATTTCTCCAGAGAAAATATACAAATGGCCGATAAGCACATGAAAGATGTCCAACATCATTAGTCATCAGGGAAATGCAAATAGAAATCACAGTGAGATGCCTCTGCACACCCACGAGGAAGGCTACATTTGTGCTGGACCGCAGGGTGTGGGGTATGGGTATGGGGTTTCTTCTGGGGGTGATGATGTGTTCTGGAATTAGACAGTGGTGACAGTGGCACAGCCCTGTGAATATATTAAAGATCAATGGACTATACCCTTCACAAGTGTGAATTGAATGGTATATGAATTATATCACAGCAATAGTAAGGGCAAAAGTGATGAAGGCAAAACCTGAGCAGTGTCAGTGTGACTGACAGAGAAGGTTCCACTGGAACATGCTGGCAGAACGAAGAGCTGGATAATGTGTCAGCGAAGACGGCATTTTAGGCAGAAAGCCACGAGCTTTGTTTTCCCTTTTCTAATTCCTAGTCATTCATTACACACGTTTCTGTCTACTGCCCTCACACCTTCTAAATTGATTTAGGTTTCACACCACCAACCTGGGGCTCTCACCTCAACTCTGGTCCCATATCTAACTTTGTCACCTAGACCCAGTCTCCTACGTGCGATCTTTACCTGGCGATTCTCATGAGTAATCAAAACTGAAGTTAACAAATCTCTTCTTTCCTGGCCATTCTTGTTTTAAATATTTCTCAGACCAGAAGGCTTGATATAATAATACTCTTTGTTTCCTTCATCACTTAAATATAAAACTTCAAGTTTAACAGTTCAGTTTTTGAAAGTATAATATTTCTAGAACTTTTTATTTGTACAACTCACATCTTCTTAAACATATTCCTGAATCCCTGAAACAGGATTAGCTGCAAAAGGCCTAGCACAGCGCCCAACATGGAACACATACTCAGTAAGGAAGGCCTGTCCCTTCGACATGTGCTGCGTACACGGTGTTCAACAACCAGCTCACTTGGCAGGAGGAGCCCTCTAGTGTTTATCTACTCCTGTGATGTAGCTATTCCCACCATGGCTGATTCAAGTTTGCAAAAATTCCTGAGAACTTTGTAACGGGCTCTTGTGAGCTCTAGCACACCCTTACCTGTGTACTGCTAACCACTGCCTCTTCTCCAAATATTACTTTTATCAACTCACTCTTCCCCCGTGGATCCCCCTGTTCTCTTCCTCATTTATACACATCTATATACATTTAAGCATCTTCCTGAACCCGATTCCTTCTCTCTGTTTCTCTATTTTTCAAATGTAGCGTGTGTTTTAGACCAGGCATCCACCAACTGACCCGAGTAGTCTCTATTTGCTTCTGTATCTTTGCTCATTCTTTTCTCTTGTCCAGAGTTAACTTCTTCCCCTCGATTTTCTCTGGAAAATCGAGAAAAGATTCATCCCTCTAGACTCAGCTGAAGTATCATTTCTTCCAAGAGGCCAATACCAGATATTCTAACCTATCATAATATTCCTCTTCCCTGAAAAGCTACAATACTAGCTTCAGTGTCCCACCACAAGGCTGAGTGAAGACGGAAAACACAGTGGTGCTAATAAATGCTGCTACTCTAAACACTGAGACGATTTCTAAGAGAAACAGGTATGCGAAGCTCCTGGCTGAGTGAGGATGACTTCACACACCGCCTGCTCTCCTGCCCTAAGTAGCAGAAAGGCAGAGTCCAACAAGAACAAAGAACAGGGAGAGGATCAGTGAGAAATCCAATGTGTCCAGAATGGGTTTCAGTGTTGTGACTGACTTGGCAGAGAGGAGTACCAATATACAAGGGGCTGGTCTGCGGTTCAGAGCCCTGAGGGCCCTGGGAACTGGAATTAAAACTAGGAATCAGAGCCATCGGAGCCAGAAGTGGGGCTGGATAGTGGAGGACACACTGACCGTTCCCTCCCACTCTCTGTCCCGATGGGCCCAGATGCTCACACCTTCCCACTACCTCAGGAATCGGTAGTGTCTATTTTCTAGAGAAATGGAACCGAAGAGGCTCTCAATTCAGCATACAGAGCAGAGGGCAGGAAGAAGGTATAATGGTAACAGGAATATTAGAGGACAGTCTCAATAATAGCCAGTGACACCTTCTGTCCTGTTTCCCTGTTCCACTCTCAGGACACTGGTAGCTAGGCATTTACCCGGGGCAGGAGACAGAGAACTGAATGTCCCCAGAGCAAGCACCTGTATGCTGGTAGGTGGGACTCTATCTGATCACAGTGCAGCCTGACCCATCAAGGACTTCGAGTTTCCAATCAGCTTTTCATGCCTCTTTCAAATCCTGATGGCCAGCCAAAGGTCACCAAACATTTGGGGAAAGGCTCTGTGGGAGAGGAGGCCTCCTGTCTCCCAGGAGCTGTTCCCCCTTCTTCCATGGTAGTAGGATTTTTTGCTGGGAACGTGTACAACCCAAATATAGATGTGTGCTAGCCTTCCTGATATCTGGTTATGGCCCGGAGAACAGACCCTGGGAAGCATAATTCAGTACAAGTGTCACAGGTACATGCCCTTAGCCCTCTTTTCCCTCCTGCTGCCTAGAACTTAGAGGCCACCATCCTGGACCACAAGGCCCAGAGCCCCACCCTAGAAACAGGCAGAGAGCGAGATGGAACAGGCCTGGGAACCTGAGAGCACTGCGGAGCAGTGAGAACTCTGAGCAGGAACTCTGAGAAGCCCTCCTTTCACATGAGTGAGACATATCTATCTTTTAGTCACTTATTATGAGTCTCAGTGACTTGCAGGCAAACCTAATGCAAATGAACACAGTCTCTAATGGACAGAAAACCCAACAAACAGAAAAAGGATTGAGGTTTTTAAGAAAAACTCAGATGCAAATGGAAAATGAAAAAAGAAAACTTGAAAATTACAATCAATACTCTGAAAAGATGAACAGATAAGATACATGCATGAAATAAGAACAGATGCTGGAAAAAGGAAGCAAAGAGCTCTCGAAAGTTAAAAAAAATGAAGGACTTACTAGAAAAAATGGCAAATAAAGTCCAGAAAAAGCTCCCAGACAGTGGAATAAAAAGGAGAAAGACAGAAATTGGGAGGAAGAAAATAAAAAAGGAAATCTAGAAGCTCAGTGCAGGAGGTCTGATGGTGAATTAACAAGGAGTTCCAGTAAAAAAGAGAAGACAGAAACGAGAGTCAATTATCAAAGAGATCAAAAGTTTCCCAGGGCTGAGGACAAATTTCCTGAGTAAAGTGATACACCAAAAGCTCAATATAACAAATTTAAAAACACAAACATGCACACCTAGGCACTTTACTGTAAAATTTAAAAATAACACAGGAAAAAAGATCCTTAAATTTCTACAAGAAGAACAAATTAGTTGTGTATAAAGGAACAGGAACCAAACTGGTATCAGACAAGTTGAAAAGCTGAACAATATTCTTCAAAATCTGAGGAATGGTGACTTGAATTCTGCCTCCTAGAATTCTGTACTCAGTCATGTTACCTGTTATTTGTGAAGTATAAAGTATACGAGTTCCATCCGGAAAAGGTCCAGCCATTTTAACATAATGAGGACAGTATGTGCGAGTTCAATGTAACCCAGTAGCCAAGGAGAGTGGACTGGAATGCACATGCGTGAACAATGACGACTTCACTGTGCTAGTCAGTGGGGGCAGTAGATGCCATTGAGTGAGCAAGCGTACTGTGTGGCCGTCACATTCAAAATGACTGAGCAAGTAGAGCGACGAATCTACATCAAATTTTGCACTAAGCTTGAACATCCCTCTGTGGAAACTATTTGGATGATTCAGAAGGCCATAGCTATGAGCAAATGGTGACTGACAGCTTCATCACAACAATGTGCCCACTCATGCATCACATTTCATGGGGAGGTTTTTTGGAGAAACATCAAAATACCCAGTGACTCAGCCCCCCAACAGCCCAGAATTGGCACTCTGCGATTTCTGGCTTTTCCCAAAACTAAAATCACCTTTGAAAGGGAAGAGATTTCAGATCGTTGATGAGATTCAGGAAAATACTGGACAGCTGATGGTGACTGGGAGAACTGTGTGAGGCCCCAAGGTGCCTACTTTGAAGGGGACTGAGGCGTCATTGTCCCTTGTACAAGTTTCTTGTATCTTGTATCTTCAATAAACGTGTCTATTTTTCACATTACATGGCTGGATACCTTCTGGACAAACCTCATAAGAATATTTTTAGACATGCAAAGATGTATGTGCTCCATCAAAACAAGGGAGTAAGCTGAGAAGAACAACAGGCAATCCACCAATCTCATGATGCAGTCCTGGGACAGGAGCTGCACAGCAGGCCCGGGGAGCTGCAGTCTGACTTAGAGTCCAGTGGGGACGTCCTGAGAAAAGACGGCACTGCTGGGCATGGAAAGTAGCGTTGGAAGAGGCTTTCTACTGCTGTGAGGGTGTTTAGGAAAAAACAGTGATAGGTATACAGAAAACTAGGCAAAAAAGAGGCGATTCAAGGGGCAGAAGGGGGCTGTTGCACAAGTAAGCATGGTGAAGACCTTGGCTCAGCAGGTATATAGTATCACACAACCTCAATTATGAAAGACCAAATATTGATTTTTAAAATTATGACAATACTGGGAAAACAGAAGTGAGAACTAAAGCCTCACCTGCTGTAATGAGAAATCAAAAATGTCAAAAAGAGCAACTAAATCATGTCATTTATCAATTCAGAGTACCAGAAAAACAGCAGATGTAATTAAAAGGTATCTGCAAAGGGAATCAGACCTAGGAAATAAGTGATGGAAAAAATGATCTGTTTTTATGAGAAAAAATGTTTCTCAAGTGAGCAAGCTCTCAAAAAAACTTTACAAATAGTATCCATGATACAACCTAATCATGAGCTGAAATCCGTACTATCCAGGCTTAAGAGCCTGATTTTATGAGCATGCTCTCTTTTCTCTGCAGCATATTCATATAAGCCAAATGTGGCAGACACTGTTAGCTGCTTACCCAGTGTCTACTCCCCTCCTTGTCTCCTAATTACTTCCATTCCATTCAAAGCAGCAGTGTACTAATTTAAAAAGTACCTTTCCCAGCTTCCTATACAGTTTAGGGTGCACATTTAACATGGCCCGTGAAATACAAAGGTAATGAACACACCAAACTCTCCTCCCCTCTCTTTGTCCACATAATCATGTGATGCTACAAGATGACTGACCATCCACCATGAGGGGTAGAAACAAGGACATATTTAAGTGTAGCTGAGCAGAAAGAAGGAACCTGGAAAGCTGGTAGCTTCATGGAACTGCTACGCAGCCTTGGACTGCCTCCCTTTTTATGTGTGGACAAATTAAATATATTGTTTACTTAAAGACCAGTTTTTCAAGATTCTGTTGCTTGCAGCTGAGTGCAAATATGGAATGATTTAGGCTCCGTATGCAAATGAAATGTAAAATCAGACTATCCCTAGACTCTAAACTCTGTTCCATTTATGTCTAGAACTTAAGGCCCAGAGGCTGGCACACTCGGTGCTCAGAGTATTTACCCAGTTGCAGAGCACAGCGAATCCCAGTGCGCATAACCCACAGGAGATGCCAGAGCACAATACAAAGCTTGGTGAGCAGGGAGTCACCTCAGAGAATCAGATGAATCTCCACTGTCAGACAGGAAATGAAGGCAGCAAAGTTTATGGAGGGGTGGAAAAATCAGTTAGTAGAGGAGCTAACACTAAGATGAGAATTTTTAAAAATTTTTACTGAAATACACACACACATAAGTACAAAAGTAAGTGTACAGCTCAATGTATTTTCACAACCTGAACATACCCATGTACCAGACATCAAGTACCAGACACAGGACACCAGGTCCCCCGCAAACACTTTGTCCCCTCTCCCAGCTGTCTAGCATGCAGAGGTTTAATGCGAGTTTTCTTAACGGCTGTATAGAAAGAGTAGGGAAAGAGGCCAGGTCTGTGTCTTTCAAACGGTATATTTCAGGGTCTAAACATACTTCTTAAGCATTCTTACCCGTTTATATCTCACTTTGGCATAGTAGAAACGATTTTGGCGGAAAAGGTAGTTGCCAAACTCTCGTTCAGTAGCTGCCACTTTTAGGACCTTCTGAAGTGGAAATCGATCTTGTTGCTCCTGAGGACCAAAGACAAGAACACCCAGCAAGAAAACTGAAAGCCACAATACCACAATGCAAGTGTAGTTATACTGGTTCCGTCTTTCTTCTTCAGAGTGTGCACTTTTGTTTACTGATGTATGTGCCAAGCACTGGTCTATGTGCCTCTGCAGAGGTCATCTCTGTGAATCCCAGTGGAAGCCATGGCAGTTTGATGTTATCACTGCACGCACCCACTTTATAGCCAAGCGCCAAAGGGAGATCCACAGTCCTCCTAGAGATGTTCGCTAAAGCAGAAGTTTCCATGGAATTAGAAACTGATGGAACTTGTTAAGCACAAAAATCAGTACAATTTATTCAACAGAATTTAACAGGTCTTGGTCTGACCAGGGCCTTACTGATCTTTATAGCCACAATGCGCTATCTTCAGTATATATCAAAATCACCCATAGAACCTGGCTGGTGTGGCTCAGTTGGTTGGGCATCATCCTGCAAACCAAAAGGTTGCAGATTCAATTCCCACTCAAGGCATATGACTGGGTTACAGGTTTGGTCCCCAGTTGGGGCATGTGTGAGAGGCAACCAACTGATGTGTTTCTCCCTCTCTCTCCCTCCCTTTCCTTCTCTCTAGAATCAATTTTTTTTAAAAGAAAAAAATCACCCATAGAGCCTCTTTTTAAACACATATGTCCTGTCCTCCCTGACCCCGCTCCAACCCCAGAGATTCTAAATCAGTATACCAGAGTTTGGACCCAGGATCTGCAAGAACCTGTTTTGCATAAAGATGAAAAAAGAAAAGGTCCCTCACTTGGGGTGCTGATAGTTTAGCTGGGTAAACATCATATACATATATAACCCCGGGGTGGACATCTAAAGTCATATATATAGTCAGTGTGAGATAGAATGACCAAGAGTACATTCTGATGAGATTAGAAGCCCTATATCTATGGGAGGGGTTAAGTAGAGGCAACAAAGAAATGGCAACACTTGAATTACAAGAACAGAGAGCATATATCCCACTTTGCCTGGGACTATCCCAGTTTCCACCTGATGTCCTGGTATCCTATCCAGTCAATAGTCCCTTTCACTCTGAAGTGTCTTGGGTTGGACAACAAATTATACGATCACCCTAGTTATGAGCCACCATAATGCTTGACTTGCTGGAAATCAAACTTAATGTTGAGAAGCCAATGTTCACTGTCTTGCAGAGAGAAGTAAGCAAAGGATGACTAAAAGATCAGCTCAAACTACTGGTGTCCATAACAAATCCACAGCCTGAGCTTGGCCTACCACAGTTACCCACACACTAGAAGAGCCAACATGAAGAGGGCAGTACTAGGAAGTGGGAGACCACCACAACCACCACATGGGAGCCTCAGGGGCGGAACCTGGGCCAGAGGACCACCGGCAGAGATAATAATTACCCAAAACACAAACTGGACACTCTTTCTGTGCAGTGTTGACATTTGTGCTCCAGAACTTACCACTGACAAGGCACAAAATTTGTCTGATTCAGCAGAATCCAGGAAGTCAAGCAGCTCAATCTCAAACAAGACGGTGCTGTTTGGGGGGATCAAGGGCGGGCAGCCCAGTGCTCCATAGGCATAGGTTGGTTTGAACAGAAACCTAGCCAGCTCTCCCCTCCGCATACTCAGAATGCCCAGCTCCATGCCCCAAAGTGTAATATCTGGAAGAAGGGGCAAAAACCTTGGTTGAAGCTTGCCCAATATCCTGTTCCAATGCTAGCAAGTTCTTCTATTTATGTCCAAATATCTCCATGTCATATTCCAAGCCTTCTGCATTGTGGTTCCAACTCACTTTTCAGCAGTGTCTCCCATTATCACCGCCATTCCAACTCTAATTTCTCTAGGTTCTGCAGCATTCTAGCCTCTGCATTTTTGTTCACTCGGTTCTTTCTTCCTGCAGCATTGTCCTCCCCCTCCCAAGCCCAGCTTCTGCCCTGATTCAAATCTTACTCAAACTTCAGTGCTCATTTCAAATGCAACCTCTTCCATGCAGCCTTCCCTGATCTGCCCAGCTGGAATTATAGTGCCATCATTAAGTACTCCTACAACACTGCTTATACGTCCCAGGAACTTGTCCGATTCCGCCAGGTTAGTTGTCTGAACGTGAATCAATCCACACTGGCAGAGATGATCTAATCATCTGGGTACATCCTCTCTCTTCATCATGTGTTGTGCATAGTAAGCATTCAATACATGTTCACTCAATAAACCAACAAAACACAATGCCCAATGGTTAAGTCAGGATGCAAAGACAGCCTTGCCAGTAGGACATCTCCCAAATACCTAGTTCTCAAGGAGGGAATGGGCTGGTTTAGCAAAAGCTGACTCAAAGAACCAATGTCCTGGACAGCTTTCCAGCCCTAGGGCATTGCCCCTCACTAATCTCCCCGAACCACCCCTCCTTTTCCAGCTCCTAATGTGAACTTACCTTCTCCAAGCTTCATGAGCCGAGGAGTTTTTCTAAAGCAGTTAGAATCAAAAGGCTTGTCCATGTGCTCCAGGTATCCAGAATATTTCACTAGGACAGAGGAGACACAGAAAAACGGACCAATATCCTCACCTCTATAAGGTCACATTTCTTTAACTATCACACAAAAACAACAGAATTAGATGCCCTTCAACTGCCCCACACCTTGAGTGATAGGAGCAAATCTTTGCTTAACGTTTGGATGCCTGCCCTTCGGCTCTGCACATCAGGAAATTGCCCGGGGAGCCTTGGCACGCCCCTTGTTTAATGTGGAGGACATGGGGGCCCCTTGCTGGCCCTTGAAAATTTGAATTCTAACAAAGTATGTTCTACCCCCTAAAAATGTTATTTTTTTTAAACGTAGCTTCCCCTGCCCCCAAATAAAGTGCCACGAATCCACCATTGCTCTAGTATTGCCAGCTTCTTGAGGCCAGATGGCGCCGGGACCGCAGGCCATACCTAGCACGGAAGCGTCCGGGGTCACCAGCTCGCCAGCACCCTCTCGGATGATGTCCTTCAGCACACCCCGGTCCCCGGAAATGTCCAGCATCCACCGACTCAACCTCTGGTAAGGAGACTTGTGGGGAACAAAACGGGCTTCAGAGCCGTCCGACTGCACCTGGACCGCAGCGCCCAGGCCCCTGATCCGCCCGGGCCCTCAGCGGGCCTGGGGCCCGGACCCCTCGCCTGACTCCCGGAGTCCCGGCGTTCCCCACCATGGCCACACGAACGAGCCCGGCCACACGCCCCGTGCCGGTGACGCCAGGAACTTCCGAAGGCTGCAGCCCAGCTGCTCCTTTATACCTGGCCTTCTGCCCCGGACCCGGGCATTCCGTTCAGGGGCCGCGAGGGGGAGCTCATGGTTTCACCCCAACTGCAGCCAACCGTCCTCGGGCCAGGGAGGGCGCGGCAGGGCACGTGATGGGCGTGCGCAGAGCACGTTGGGGCACGTGGAGGGGTGCGTGCAGGACGTTGTGCAGCACGTGGTGCAGGAGTGTGTGGTGGGGGCGTGTGTGGCGGGGCACCTGATGGGGAGGGGCGATTCTCGGCGGGTCTCGTGGCTGGAGCGCCCTGGTGAGCACGAGGCCCCGGAAACAGCCTCCAGCTGGAAGGGTTGGACCTCCTGCAGTGGGTTATCTCCAGCCTCCTTCTTTACTTCAGTGCACGCACTTACTCCTGCTCCGTGCCTGGAAGACTGCCCTTGTTGCCAAGTTCATCAGACACCTTCTGTCCTCAGATTCCTGGACTCTTGTCAGTGTTTGAAGCTGACTTCTCTGACCATTAAACACTGTTTTCTCTTGGCTTCTATATGTTTTCTTACCAGTGTCATAACAGGTTGCCACAAACCTAGCTGTTTAAAGTGACACGCATTTATTCTCTCACAGTTCTGTAGAAGTCTGACATCAGTCTCAGCTCTAATCAAGGCATTAGCCCGACTAGAGGCCTTTGGGGGGAAGAATCCGCTTCAAAGCTCTTTCAAGTCGTTGGCAACTCCAGATTCTTGAAGCTCTAATGCCGAGGTCCCGTGTCCTTCATGGCTGTCAGCAGGGAGCCACAGTTAGTTCTTAGAGGCTTCTCTCCCATTCTTGCATATGCGCCCCGCATCCCAGAGGCAGCAATAGTGCTGAATCCTCCTCATGCTTGGAATCCTCCTGCTTCCTTTTCTGTAGCGTCAATCTCTGACTCCAGCCAGAGAAAGTTCACTGCTGTTAAGGGGGTCATATGATTAAATTGGACTCACCTGGATAATTCAGGACCGTGACTGTGATTACATCTTCAAAGTCCCTTCTGCCATGGAAGTGACATATTCACAGAGCCCAGGAATTAGGGCTGCCTCCTGCAGCTTCCTAGTCGCCACACTCCCCTGCTGTTCCTCTGGCCTCACTGGCTGTCCCTTCTCGGTCGTCCTCCGTCTCTGGATCTGTAAACATCAGCAACCTAGAGCTGTCCTTGGACCCCTGTGCTTGTCTACTTTAAGTCCCTGAGAGGTCCCAACCATTCCCACAGAATTAACTGTGATATAAACAGGTGCCAGAGCCCCAGGGGGCTGTGTCCAACTGCCTTTTTCAGTGGGTCTCAAAGAGTACTCAGTCTCCGGACCAGCAGCATCAGTACTTGTTACAAAAGGCAAATTCTTGAGCCCATCCAGGTTCTCCTGAATCAGAAACTCTGGGACTGGGGCCTAGAGATTTGTGTTGTAACAAGGCCTCTGGGTGATTCCGTTGTTTGCCGAAGTCTGCAGACCAGTTGGGCTACGTAGTTCCTCCACCTGGATGCCCTGCGGCCTCTGACTCTGGATCCCCTTTTACTTTGTTTATGTCCTTCTTCTCTGTGACAGCCATTTGGCTTCACCACCCATCCACGCAAGTGCTCACACTACTGTGATCCATTTTCTCCACAGCAGCTAGAATGATATTTTAAAATATGAATGAGGTGACATTTCCTTGCCTTAAAACCCTCTAAGAGCTTCCACTGCCCTTGAAATCCAAACCTTTGCCCTAGTTTATACAGCCCTCCTTGCCAACCTCTCTGGCCTCATCTTCTGATGTTTCCCCTCCTTTACTACACTCCAATCACCCAGGTCTCCTCTCTAGTGCTTTCCAGGACCTTTGCACTTGCTGACCAATTGTGTAGTCTACTACCCTGAATCCTTTCGGCTGGTTGTTTCCTGTGTATCCTTCACATCTCAGCTCACCCATCCCTCCTTGGAGACATTGCCCCGCTCCTTACTAAAGTGCACCTCATACGACCTGTCATCCCATTCCCCTTTCTCTCCACACTGTGTACCTCCTGTATGCCGTTTTACACCATTATGTTACATTACATTAATGTGTTTATTCATGACCTTACACCCCTCTGACCCCCATACTCCAAAGCACAGAGACGTTGTCTGTCTTGTTCTTTGATGTATTCGCAATGCCCAGCTCAATGTTTGACACATAGCAAGTCCTCAATGAATATTTCTTGAATTAACAAATAAAATTAGCTTTCTATCTGTCTGTACGAGACCTTGGTGTTGCTTGTCACTGGGGTGGAGACCTCGCCTGCTGGCAGACCTGGGTGCTTAGGCCTGCTGTTCTAGAGCCCCTCCCTCCCTCCCTGCCTCCCTCCCTCCCTGCCTCCCTCCCTCCCTGCCTCCCTCCCTCCCTGCCTCCCTCCCTCCCTGCCTCCCTCCCTCCCTGCCTCCCTCCCTCCCTTCCTTCCTTCCCAGATGAGTTGGTTTAATTACAGGAGGTACAGGATCGGGATACAACAAAGACCTCCAGGTGATTCTCTTGTTTGGCAGGGTTCCGTGCTCAGTTTACTCTGATCTAGCTCAGATCCAAATGGCTGGGTGAGAAGAACTAAAGAGATGAGCCACTGCATGATGATGATGATGATGATGATTTACAGAAGTTAATTCTTAAACGTACCAACAGGCTCCAAGACAACTATTCATCCTAGCTATAGATGGCAACAGATGGTGTGACAGGAAATCCAGATCTTAAAACGGGAATGGAATTAAGGGTCACCACTGCCCCAGGCACAAGGAACCACTCACTTTTTGCCAGATTTGTTGATTCCACCTGTGGGCGGGCAGGTGGTCCTTCCCCATGGCCTTAATTTTTAGTTCTTTGAGTTCCTTCTGCTCCTCTTTTTGCTTTTGCTTGATGCCTTATCTTCCTTGTACATCTCCTTGGCCTGCTTCTTGGGCCTTTGCCACCTTTGAGGCGGGACGTGCGCCTGCTGCCCCTTTCCCACACTCTGCCACCGGAAGCTCTAGAACTTGTTTAACACCCCCAGAGAGCCTCTCCATTCTGTCCTTTCCAATCAATAATTTCCCACCACACCCTTGAGATATGTGTAGTACCTTATGACCTGTATATCATTATGCAGCATGTATAATATATTATTAACTGTATAATACAGTGTCACTGAATTTCTAACCCTTCAAAAGACTTCATATAAAAAGTTATTAATACAATAATATTGAAGAAGTTAGGCACAAAAATGGTACATATTAAGTGATTTTGTTCATTTGAAGTTCAAAACCAGACTCTGTTAATCTGCAGTGCTATGGGCCGTGAGAGTGGCTGTTCTTGTGAGAGGTTCTGCTTGGGGACAGCATGAGGGGGGCTTCTAGGGACTGGAATGTTTTGTGTCTTGATCTGGAGAGGGAGTATATATAAAGTGTACATTAAGTGTGTGGTTAAGATTTCTATGCTTTTTAGAAGATATACCCCAATTTAAAAATCTAAATAAGTAAATAAAAGTATCTTTAGTTCTTTTATTCTTAGACTCTTCTCTCTTTTAATATTGTTAATTCTGTTACAGTTGTCCCAATTTTTCCCCCTTTGCCCTCCTCCACCCAGCCCACCCCCACTCCCACAGTCAATCCCCACATTCTTGTCCATGTCCATGGGTCATTCATACATGTTCTTACAAATATCTTTTAAAAAGAGAGAGATTCAGGAAGATGGTGTCACAGCACAAGTCCGTTCCATTTGGGATCGGTAAGGTGTGAACGGGTACCTAGCCTTTCTGTCCCCACCCCTTCCCCTTGTCCGGCCAAAGCAAGCACCTGATTGTTACAGTTATCAGAGCTGGCCCAGCAGAGGCTGCCTCCCCAGTCCCGTGACATGGCCTAGTTTCCACCTGATCTAGGTGACCTTGAGGATATGGAGGTGTTGCTGGGAAATGGGAGGAGGAAAGGGGCAGAGACTAGGTGGTGGAGCAGGCGTCAGCTGCAATCCTCAGGTCTCCTCTCCTGCTATTCCATCCTGGGGGGAAGAGGCCAAGCCAGTCAGGTCAGTGATGCTGTTCTGAGGCCCTGGTGGGAGGCTAGTGGCTCCTGAGAAGCCAGGTAGTTCCGTTCCGTGTGGGGGTTTGCTGCCGACTTCCACCTTGGTGCTTCCAGCTCGGTGCTTCTCTCTCAGAGGCCATCAGTTTTCCAAGGCGAATGGGTGGGAGATTAAGATACAGCTCTCCTAAGTCCCAGACTCTCCAGAACAATTTTGTTCTAAGACAACTCTCTGCTTTAGAATGAGCTGGGAGTGTCTTTTGTAAATGTAGATTTCCGGTCTCACTGGAGATGTGTGGAGGGATGACTCAGGAACCTTTATTGCAACTCTGATTCCAACAGTTGCTCACCAGTTTGAACACTTATCTACAAGATGGGCAGGACCTCTGCTTGTTTCTGAGGTCCAGTTCTAGGTGAGGACACCTGCTGAGGTTGGAGCTGGCATTATTTGTGTCACAACAAATGACACTGCAGAGGGTCCCTTTCATATTTACCTTCAAATCCAAGTTTTAATAAAAAACATGTAGAATCGTGTATCTCAAAGTGACCCCCCATCCCTCATTTAAGCACTTTGTTTTAAAGATGGGGAACAGGCCTAAGATCTTAGGGGGTCAGGACTGGAACCCCGGACCGGAGTCTGTAAGGCCCTCTAGTTTCGAGGCCCTTTCCAGGGGGTTGTGGACAGAGGGAGTGGAGGACGCAGGCTCAGGAAGGCGCCCTGTGTTACAGCCTGCACTGTGGATGGCGGCCTGGTGGGTGAGCATGACGGAGCTGGAGGACCGCCTTCAGTGCCCCATCTGCCTTGAGGTCTTCAAGGAGCCCCTAATGCTGCAGTGCGGCCACTCCTACTGCAAAGATTGTCTGGTGTCCCTGTCTTGCCACCTGGACTCTGAGCTGCGTTGCCCAGTGTGCCGGCAGGAAGTGGATGGCAGCAGCTCCCCGCCCAACGTCTCCCTGGCTCGGGTTATTGAAGCTCTGCGGCTTCCCCGGGACCCGGAGCCTAACGTTTGCGCGCACCACCGGAACCCGCTCAGCCTCTTCTGCGAAAAGGACCAAGAGCTCATCTGTGGCCTCTGTGGCCTGCTGGGCTCCCACCAGCACCACCGGATCACGCCAGTCTCCACCGTCTACAGCCGCATGAAGGTGGGCAGGGAGGCTGCTGGGGGACGTGGACCCAGACCACGTGAGGGGCCCCTGGAGCCCACGGAGCCCAGCTCCTACGCTCTCTGACGCCACTACTCCGCAAATAAGGGTCAACTCGCATTCTCTCCAGCTCTGTCCTGGAGCAGAATGCTCATTCATTCATCTCTGAAGTTCTGAGCAGGTGCTGAGGATAGGCAAGGTGGAGAGTGCCCTGCCTCACGTACTAGCCCTTCCCGTGCTGTATTCTCTTTGAACGCTCCTGGGACTGCACTCTCAGACACAGGAGGGCAGGGACTTCGTTTTGTTCCCAGGGGTATTTTTGTACCTGGAGCCGTGCCTGGCGTACTAAATGTTCAAAATGTATTTGTGGAATCAATGGATTCCTGCGCTCCTGAAACTTTGTCTCAGGTCTAGCAGGTCATCGTTTAGGATAACTAATTGTAACCATGATACCGTCTTTGGTTAATGCTGACCTAAGGTTTAAGAAGGGTGGGGTTTTTATTGTATTTTACATGTGAGGAAACTGAGGCTCAGAGAAGGTAAGTGTCTTACCCAAGGCCACACAGCTTGTCAGTGGCAGAGCTGGGACTCCAACCAAGGCTGGTTTTCTTTCACCGCCAACAGATCAAGAAAGGGCAGGAAGGGCTCTTGGAAGTGAATTATTATGGGGTATGTGGCCTTGTATTTGAGGGAAAGGGGGCATAAAAGTGAAGAATGACAGAATACAAGTGAGGCAGCCAGGGAAAGAAAGAACATGGAGATCTGCAGGCAGAGGGGCCCCCTGTAAGTGGTTCCAGAAGTTTCCTGGCTGAGTGGTCTGGGCAGCATTTCTGGGCTCCTTCAACCCTGGGAGACAACCCTGGGAGACATGTAGGAAACATGTACGGGGCCAGCCAGGTCATCCACCAGCCCCTCCTCTCCACAGACATTGACCGGGCATCTGACCTGTGC